AGGGCTCACTTACACAAGGGTATCTTTAATGTAAATATTATATCGCTCTGTTAATACGTAACAGGGAAGAACTAAGCGTTCTTGGCTGTATTCCTTGCCGGATATTTTTTATGCAGCATCTGTAATGTGACAAAATTTGGGAAATTTATGGTATATAATGTAGATTTTCTGATCATGTATTGTTTGACCATGTTATAATACGAAATATCTGTTTTGTTAATAAATTTACTTCATTATAATTTCTCCTTTTTTACATCTCCTTGTTACTAAGACAAGATTTGATGAACCTTATGCATGTACGTACGCTATAATATTACCGTTAGATTTGTTCTCATTCATTGCTATAGTAATATAATCATTGCTAACTGTAACAAACTGTGTCGCATTGTGGCAATTGTTTATATGCGTGTATAGTTTTTATTAGAAACATATTGCGCCTCATTTGTAAACTTGGTGTGATGGTCGTTTAATGACAGCTCATCATCGAGCTCTGCTGATCAATCGATTGCTCGCGGTCCTACCTTTATAAGCAAAACATTTTCAATGTTATCTTGGTTACATAACCATTATTTTTTGTCCATTTTTAAAATGGCGAATGTATCTTATTATGCGTTATGAGAACAAACGTACCATCAGGTATTTATAGGTAATGTTTTTTCCTTAAAGTACCTACTTCAATGAGTTAAAACTAATTTTACGTTGTCCTTGTTTATGTATATTTATAGTTATAATATTTTTCAATATTTATTTATTACTCAAATCATGCAAACCAACCGAACAGTTGACCTGTGTGAAACGGATATGATATGGATAAAATTAAGGAAGAAGCTTATTTATTGAATGGAGACATAGATTGCTCCACTGATCTGGAATTGTTGAAACCATTAAAGTTTCCCGGGTTTTTGTTGATGAATTTTAAAGTCCACAAACAAGGACCTAGTCGCGAGTCTAGTACTACATTCAACTATTCCTGGCTAATCACTTTAACATTATTATGCAATGGTGTGAGCATGCGCGTCATTGATTTAACACCTGCATTCTAAATACTGAATAATACATGTGGGTGAAGCTGCATAGATAAATAGAATTACTATCTTTTAGATTAAGTAATCGGTTGCGGACATTTCTATTAGATTTTTTCAGCATATTTTAGGGTTTATTGAAATCAAAAGGTTAGTGTTTCTGTAGGGTGAGGTTTCGTTGTAGATGTCTGTCGCTTTGATAATTGCTTTATAACAAGTAACATTACGGAGCTGCGGAGAACAGCTTTCGCACACAATGTAATAATCTAGTGCCTTGTGTCACTTGTATGACAGCATTTTACGGGCAATGGATTTTATCTGCAACAGCAGCAGGATAACAATCCTCCGTTGGATTCAGATAAAATAAAAAGCCAGACTATACTTAGAACTTAGATTTAAACTAGGTAGATTAAATAGCTTCTGGAATTATTGTTGTTTTCATTGTGTTTTCTAAACAACATATAAGACTGTCTCGAACAGATAAAATTATTTATTTAATTAAATTTTATGTTTGCCAAAGTGACGTATTGTCTCATTCTATTGATATAGATAAATTGTTAGCGTCATGTTTGATATGCTTGCTAAACCTGGTAGATATTATATAAGTGTAATATGTTACACCTAAATATAGTGGAATACGCCCTAACAACACAACATTTGATGCTTATCTTACTGTTAAAAATCTTTGCACATATCCATGATGATAATGGTTAATTTCAGTGTCCGATAAGATAACGTGCTATTGGGGCCGAATACTGAGTAACTTGATTCTATATACCTAGTCTGATTGTTTGTAGCTATATAAATTTATATAACACTCATAGTAGTATCAGGGATTTTATGTTTGGTGAAAATGGTTTTTTCGTTTTTGGTTAAACTTTCTGGGCTATTTAAAACAATTAAAGAAGATTACACTGCAAAATAATTAATATTATTGACTCGTTTGAACATGAGTGACATATTGATGGGATGAACCACCATCATTACTACTGTCATCATATCTTATGATATGTCCGTCCAACCAAGGGGCTGTTATCTAATTTCTACTAGCATCTCGATGTCTTCAAATTTATATTTATATATTCCAAAATGTTAATTTAAAGGATATTTTTGCATCGGTACTTTCACATACGTCAAACTCAATTAAAGATTGTTATGTTTTCCGGATGTCAGAAGTGCTTGCAATTTGTTTTTTTTTTAGGTCCAACGGAGTTTTATTTCATTACATTATTTATATAATAATTAAATATACTATTATCTAATCCTAGCTTAAAACAAAAAATATACTATAACAATGAACCTAAAACTAAAAACCTTAAAAAATGAAATATAATATCTAACTAAAATACATTATTAAAAAGAGTCCCTTTAGGCAAGGTTCCGAAGATACTGGCAGCGTTCCCCCTTTAGATAGGCTAGACTAATTCTATGTCCGAGGTAGCTGCCAGCTCTTCGGCCTCCTGTGATGTCGACTAATCTTTTTGCTATTTTTTTAAATCTTGCAATTCATATGGGTTTCATATTTGGTAGCAGTATATCTCTATCGATATATATCTGTCAAACTTACAAATAGGCAATACAAATGGTCAATTATGCCTAACAATGTATCTTTTGCTGGTAATTGAAATAAAAGCAAGATCTTCCTATTATTTTCTTAAAGTAATTAATTAACACTTCTTAAAGTAATAAAAAGTAGGTACTCTCTCAAAAGGCGAATAGAATAAAAAAACATTCTCAATTACACAATAGGCACTAGGTTGTGAAACGACCTCATCATAGATTATGTGATACGGCTCACGTAATCTCGATCTATTTATTCTGACGACTATTACTTTTAACTTTTGTTTCATTGGTCAACTTTTCTGTTAACCACTTGTAAAGTGAACCGGAAACTAGAAAACTATAGAAAAAAGGTACTTAGTTATACTCAAAATATCGAACCATGAAGTATCTTCTGTTTTTTGCCCACTACCACTGCGCAAATTGACCCACATAATAACAGACAGTTAATTGAGAAAGCCTTGGAATCGGTTTCCGAACAAATGAATGGTCGAAAAAAGATTTACTTATCGGTTATCATTAAAAAGGTGCGTTGAATTGTGAAGTAATAAAAACGATCCCCTTGGGCTTGGATGTGATAATAGATATGCCGACCTTGTCTAACATTGGAGCTATCAAACAGTTATTGCATACATTCGATCGTTATATGAACAGTTTCGTACGGCACTGACCCAACCTTTAATCCAGAAAGTTGACATCATTATCTGCCGACAATACGCGTGTTGAAGTTCACATAAAACATATCCGATACGTGGCAGATAAGTGTGCTCATTACACCGCTATTTAAGGTATCCAAAACTAAATTGGGTATGTAAAACAGCACCTTTTTTAACACTCAATGAAATTGTTTTTATGCTTCTACACAGTTACACGGTTAGATCATTCTTGCATAAAACGTCCATTTATCACGATTTCTTTTGCGTATGACACTGCAAGGTCAGGTCAACCGTACTCAAAAACAACAATAGTTTTGCTTTTATGGATGGCTAAGCAAATGATTCTAGAATTTTTCATGTTCACGTTTTTGTTTTTATAGATGGCAAAGCAAATAATGATTCTAGCATTTTTCATCTTAAACTTTAGGTCACTGTCTCCTCATAAAACTGATTTTTTTTGTGTGTCAAACATTTTCTATTCACTGACTGTTATTTACCATCTTAATATAAAGTTTGTCTACTGATTTCTTGAAAATAGAAAACGATCGACTTTGTCGAATGGTTTAACACCAGTAAATTATACATGGCCTTCTGATGCCTAATGATTGACAAATTAAAATGTTATACAGTAAGTACTTAGTAAGAAGCCGCTTCAACCGCTGGAAGTAAATTTGTTTATTAATTTAAAGTAATACTGCCGTCCTCAAGCTAAAACGCGGCTAAATGGCAAAACCATTTATTTAGATATGGCCAAAAAACGGCGCGTAAACTTTAAACTATTGCTGTAACCATTCATCACATGACGGATTTTTAGACTTAAACTATAAAAGATACGAATGCTTGTTAAGGACAAATCGATAGAGAATTAAAAACTGTATAGATGCAATTTAAGACTGAAAAATCGACCACATTTCACTTAGCCGCACTTTATTTTGAAGAAGGCAGACTAGATACTACTATTTTTCACTGAGCAAAGGTTATTCTTTACCAGTTAGTTACGATTATGATCCATTGAAGGCATGATTCTAATTTTAACATTTAACAAATCATTTCTAAAGTTTACCAACCAAGGTCATGTATTGCGTTCATGAAAACGTTTATGTTATAATAAGTATTAGAGTTTGATGTAAGATCCATTGTTTGTGTTACAAACCACGTACCTTCCGATATTTTGTTATTTATTAGTTATTCATATTTATTATGATATATTTAATAATATAACAATGTAAGATCTCGAATTATTCTCTTCAATACCTACTACCTACCTGGTGTTGTCGTACAAGTTTTGATATTTGACACAGTCTTATTTAAACGTTTGAGGTTGTAACACAAAAAAATTAGTCATCATGTTTAGGCAAAATTTTGTATGACCTTTTCTTCTTAAATCCGTGCTGAACGCCTAAGTTTTTTTCATCATCAGTTCAAAAACATAGTAACTAACATAGGTAACTTTCTAAAAATTAAAGTAACAGCAGAATAATCTGGGATGTGTTACGCAATGCATTGTCTCTTTTCATCGAATTACATATGAAATTTCAATTATGTGAACAATGATATGTGATAAGGGGGAATAATAAGCTCCCCCCGCAGAAGCCTTAATAGCTACATATAGAAGCGATGTTTTCTCTTGGCTGCTAGCCTAGTTTCTGACACAAGGTTGTGTTTTTATCTATTCTAATGATATTTTGTATTTTTGTTATTTTCAGGGTTTTGAAAAAAGAAAGTAAAAGAAAATCTCAAGATAATTGTTCAATGTTTACAGGTGGAGCTTTCGAAGGAGTCGAAGACCAAGTGTCTCCGTTTGGTTACGGCAGAGGGGAGGGCGTAGACGCGGGCCACGGCGACCCCGACTGGATTTGCAGCAAAGAGAAACCCCGATACGACCAAATGTTCCAATCTCTCAATCCTATCGACGGAAAAGTCACAGGAGCTGGTATGCATTCCTCCCTTACTCCATCTGCTTCACAATCACATTGCAGTGGTACAATAACTGTTAATAAAGCTCTGGACGCCATGCTCTCTACCACACAAAGTTGTTCATCACTAACAGAACTATGCATGGCTTTGAAGGATCACAAAGACGATGATATGGAAACATTCAATAAAATCACTGACGCTTTAATAGTAGCAACGCACAATTCTAACATGATTGCGCAATTTTTAGTAAATCATGAAGTCTATACTGAAGACAATCGTAGAGTTTCAAGCGCGGTCTCTATTCATACCCTAGACGATTCTATATCTGTACAAGGTGCGAGCAGTAGTGTAGAATATCGAGTTGAAACAAATCGTTCGATCTCGAGAAATACTGATGTTGGCAGTGAAGATAGTAATCATGATGATGGTGAATCAGATAAAGCCTCTGATGACGAAAAAGTACCTGATTATAACTTAGATTTCAACGAAAATCATAATACTGGAGCCTTTCAACCAGTACTATATGCTGTGAAGTTTATTTTTCTCTTAATATTGAATGTAGTGTCAATAATGTTTATAACACAAGTTATGTTCGTAACGATACTGTATGTTTTCACGGGTGAAATGTATTTGGAGCTTAACATTGAAAAGGAGCCACAAACGATGTTTGAACGTGTGAAAATTTTTGCTTTCGGCCCCGAACAGCAGACTGTACGAATATATTCGATCTTCGGGGTCTTTCGCCGCCACAACATTGTTAATATTTTGAAACATTTCATACGTAATATTAGTAATGGTTCATCATCTTAAAGATATATGTTAGGGAGCCTATTGTCCGATAAGATCTATTTTTATATTACGACAACGTAATCTAGCCATTCTCCATTAGACGTTTGGAAAATTTAGGTATGAAAGTATATATGTATCTATCTCTATTGGCATCAGGTATCTAATATTGTTGACATGGTTTATTGGTGATTTCTATCTAGTCTTTGTGGTCTGCTTTAGTTGTAAGCCTTAATTTTTATTTAAGTATGCAGTTCCTTATATTTGTGATAAGTATTTATTTACACTCAGTGTAAAATCATTTTTTGGTAACACGTTTCAATATAGGTTAGATAAATCACGCTCCGTATTAATTACGGGTCTTATCGTGGTTTGTGGATGAGGGTCTGGATAATGGCGGCACTTAACATATCTATTCGTATTTGCTATTTGTAAACTTGACAACAGTCTCTCATTTTCATTCCCTGAAGTGTATAATAAGGATAACCTGCTGTCAAATTGACAAACATCAAATACAAATAGCCATTTGAAGTGGCCGTCATAAAATGATATTTGTCTCTTTCTAGAGACCGTACTATGATCTCTTACGTGATCCAATAACAGCTCTTTCAATTCAAATTGGAATGCATGAAATGCATCTACACACTGCACATAATGTTGTCTTATTTAACAATCCCAAGCATCACATTAATAGTATAGTATAGTATTATATATATCTTGGTATAAATATAGCCCTAGATGGTACACTTATGGTGAAGTGAACCATATCCGTGAACCGAGGGAAATAATTTATATTTTGTTAGTGATGATCCATTTGAAATTGCTGGCCTTATTTTTTTTGTTTGCATAGACATCAAGTCTATAAACATATATCATTTAAAGATTGTATAGCTTACAACATATTTAATTACATACAAATTAGGTGTAGCCAATTACTGAAAGTGTTTTATTTTATTGATTTATTGTATGGAGTGGAGTAACTTCATACTTTATATCCTGATTCGTTTGCGAAAGAATTACACAAGGTAGTGTTAGCATTATTAAGAACTCTTTTCACTTTTTTAAGGCACCAAGTTTAGATTTTCGAAATTAAATAAAAACACTTAGATATCCTCCGTCAACACCATCTTCTTCTGTGCCCATTTTAAGCAAGATGAATAGTATAACATATAAATTTTATTAAATACGCCGATAGTTGAAAAGTCGTCGACAATCGAGGTTCGGAACTTCTGGTATTAGACATGATGGCATCGGTATTAATGCTTTCAGTAAACTTTTCTCCGATTTCCTTCTAATGGCCTACCAATCTCAATACAGCTATAAAAGCATGTATGTGACCAGTACATTATACGCGGGCATTTCTCTACAGCGGCCAAGAATGAGATGGTGAAGTCGAAACTGCCGAACAACGTGCTCGGCAAAATCTGGAAGCTGTCTGACATCGACAAGGATGGATTCTTGGACGACGAGGAGTTCGCGCTCGCCATGCACCTCATCCGAGTCAAAACCGACGGCCACGACCTACCCTCAGAATTGCCCCCCCATCTCGTGCCTCCGTCTAAACGCAATTGATCACGCGTCATTCCTACTAAAGCATAAAACCTACATCTACCGCGTAAGCTACACACAGCAGCTTCAGACTATCAAAAAACTGACAGAATTCTCAAGTATTTCTTTAAAAGTGCTTCGATGCAAAGTTCTAAATCTTTTGAAGAATTTTGATATTTTCTATGCTAGCCTGAAGTCCTGTTTGTTGTGAGAGCGTTATCGAATATGTGCTGTCTTTGTCTGCTAAACGTTGTTAGATGAAGCAAACAGCGGTCGCTTTTCGATTGTTTTTGCAAATAATAATTTTGTTTACGTATGAGAAAGGGCAGTGCGAGGCATATTTATTTAAGTACGAGAGATTTTTAATCCGGGAATGCTTTTTTTTTCATTTTAATTATTTTATCACGTAAATGATTTTTGATTGTTTATCTTAAGTACACTTTTTAAGTTCACGAAAAGTACACCTTTGAAATTTTATTTTTATATTATAAAATTGTAATTCTATTGCAAAAAAAAAATTTATTATATTTATTTCTGTAATATAAACTGGTTTAGGAAATGACATAGAGAAGTGGGCTGAGAATTATCTGCAGCTTTAAAGTAAATAAAAACAGAATAGTGTGAAACAGACTTGAAGCCTACTAGATAGTGAGTAGTAATTATACGGCCAATACTTAAAACTGCTAAGGCCCAAGCACGAACTTTGACAGATCAGTACCCCTAGCACGAACCAATATGGAAACTTGAACAGCAGCGCCATAACGGACGTAAGGAGAACTAAAAATCAGTACACATTTGACAGTGACATTTCGCACTCGCAAACTATTCGAATTCGACATTGGTTCGTGCTAAGGGCACTGATAACATAATATTTAATGTAATCGTATAGCTTTCGTCAAATTTTGTATCGAAAGAGTATGTTTGTAGTTCCTTCAGTCCATTTCCTATGCCTATGATAATAATATATGTTTCACGAGTATTTTGGCATGTTCACTACATTAGATTATAATAAATTATTCTTTTTAAATGAATTAGAAATTAAAATTTTCATTTGCTGATAGATATTCATCAAAGTAGGCACCAGGGTTGCCAATTATATTCACACTTAATGATTGCTTGTTCCAGATAAACATTAAATGTAACATTTGTTTAATATTGGTAATGTTTTTTCATGCAAACACAATGCCTACCTGCTAATTATTTAAAAAATCAAATTTGATGAATGTTTAGCGACCATTTCAGTAAACATACCCAATATTATCGTTAAGCAAAGACTAACATTTATCCAGTTTTTTATTTATCTTACTGTCTACAATAATGATCTAGACAGCCACTATCGTTATTTGGGTTTCGGTTTTGCTGTGATTTCTTAACAATGTCATTGATTTAGTTTGCTATTTGTGTGGCAGAGGGCTATGCATACTGGTTACAATAAATTTTATTTTAAACCTCAACATTTTAAATTTTTCACTTTCTGATTAAAATATAAGAGAGCACTGCCTATAAAGTATGCTTTCTTTTCTAAAAAGTTTCAAGTATAAGTCGTACTAAACATATACCTACTTAAAAAAAACTAAATTCAAAATTTCATAAGTAAACAATTTTTACCGTAGGTAAACTTAATTTATTTAGATTTCTTTATTTATGGTGCTTGATAAGTCAATACCCAAAATATGGATTGTTAGAAAAACTGTGTTGGCTGAAATCATCTATTTGCATAATATTAAGTTGTTCCTATTTAGTGAATTCTTATAATTTATCTACTTACTAAATTTATGAAAAAAATAGCTTATGAAAATCTTGATAGGTACTTATAAATTTGAAGAAGAAATTCTAAAATAACATCATTCTGAATTTAATAAACATCATTATTTATTGTCATGTTACGATATGAATAAAGGAAGTCATGTATCGATTATAATTTTATTTTAAAATGTTTTCAATTTCATTTGTTTCATTTAAAGGTATTGTATTCTGTTCATTATTAAATTAAATAGGTATTTATTCACATTACATATTTGGTTGAGTGCTGCGTCGCATTTCAGCAATTTGGTAGTGGTCAGTGCCTTTATATCGAATAGTATAATATCGAATAAAAGGACACAACTCTGTGCTTTTGTAAACTGCATTTTTCAATTTTAATAAAATAATCTTTGAGCTTTGGATAGTCTCACAAATATTGGAATCGTTTGTCATGTAAAAACGAATTTAAATTGCAAGAGAAATCGTTGTCTAGAGATATAATCTTTTAACCAATGTTTCACTTTGCTGAATAAAACATAATATTTGTGGGTCCATATATGTAAATACAGAGTTTTATATATGCGTTAGAAATTTTGGATTGTATTTTGGACACCGCACCTGGTGATGATAGTGTTTTTACATTTTGCTACTGTATGTACATAAAGTTATGTAAATGTATTGATTATAAATTATAATTAGTGTGTAATAAATAGTTAAGAAAGCAGTGTTCACCGGTTTTTTCTTGACCTTTCCTCTTGACCAGTGGCTAGGAACTTGCCGTGGATTAAAAAATTAAGTGTAGTTTTCATCCCGGTGATGGGTTACCCCAGGGATTAAGTTCGGATTTCACATTATCTTCAAGTAAATAACTTCAACATCAACTTTTTAATGTCCCCACTGCTGGACATTCAGTGAATGGAAATTGGCCCATGATAACGCCCCAAGTTGGCTCAGGGTGGATTGGTGGGCTCTAACGACTGCGGATGCAGCTTAGACCAACTTCGTAACACGCCTTCCAAATCGGATAGATAGTCGACAAGGACGCACTTATACGCGCTAGCCACTCGACAGAGTGAAACAAACAGCTGAACCGCGTCGTGCTGTTAGCGTACACGGTTATTTAAACAGTGTATATAGGTCGCGGCACGTATAACTAGAGCTGAACAAAACGCGGAGGGGATAGCTGCGCATGGGTACGACTGGAGAGCCAATCAGCGCATCGCAATCCCACCCGCGTACCTCGTTTTCCCCCAAGACATCTATATTTTTCTTCTGCACAATAACGGCCAGCGTTCGGCATAGTTCCGTGCTGCGACGTATACCTATTTTATTCTATAACTTTCTATTTTTTATCGACGACTGGTGTATGTTAAAATCTCGCATGGGTTTATGTTACACCATACTTATGAACTTGTAATGTCTAAACTGTATGATCATAATATTAATAATAATAAAAAAGAAACGGAGGAACTCGAGATAATATTAAAAAAAAAAGATTTCTCACCCATCCTATAAACAGCAATTAAAGTTGAATTTCCACATTCCATTCGAATTAAATCCGCCTGCACCTTTTAACCATCGGACGACGAGACGAGGAACATCTACGTGATTGACATATCTCCCCTGGACACCTCACGTTTCTTATCCTCTTATCATTCTAACCGGTAGGAAATGGAACTCTCTACCTGCGTCTATAATCCCAGATAAATATAAGGGACCTTTAAGGCAAAAATAAATAGGCATTATTCGAGTTTGTGTGTTCCAACTTAGACCATATCGTTGCTTAATCGATCAGGTGCGATTTTGTTCAAACGCACTCAAATCTTTTATAAAAAAATGACACTAAATGCACTTAACACTGCGCCATCCAGGTCCTCATTGGTATATACGAAAGAGAAGTATTTTACTTACAGGCAGGGGTAGATGGGCTAAAGATTTGTAATTTATTGCTTGTTTTTTAACCCTTTTTGTGTGAAGCGAAGCGAGAACCAGGCGCTATCCCATTCAACAGGCCGCCTCCTAGACTACCATATAGCACTGCAGATGTTATTCGTTTTTTGTAAGCTCTGGGGTCCAGATTTAAGCAGTCCTGTAGGCATCCCGTCTTTAGTTGGTGATTCTTAGGGTTCCGTAGCAATAGGATAAAGACGGGACCGTATTACTAAGGCAACCGGCCGTCTTCATGAACCGTGATTAGTGCCGTCTTTGACCTATTGGAGGTCCTGGGCATATTCGGATAATGGAGCCCCTATGACCCCCGTTTGGTGATCTAACAGGAACTAGGTGGGCCCCTATCGATCGCGGGGCCCTGGGCACTTGCCCAAAGTGCCCACTGGGAAAGAGGGGTCTGGCTGTGATGGCTCGACAATTAAATTTTTCACAGATGATGTAGATATTTTTTCTGTTGCTGCTTTAACAAGAAATAGGTCAAACAATAAAATATGTATTTAAATGGGGCTTCAATACAACAAACGTGAAGTTATTGAAGTTTTCTACTCGATATTAATAACGGCAACGTGGCTACCCTACTTGAAATATTCACAGAATAATGTTTAGTTGTATGTATATTCAATTTAAGAATAAATATTCCAGGGGAGCTCCCATAGACTCAATCCCAGACTTGGTTTCTTTTTTATAATACTAATAAAAGTGCGTGCGCGAGTCCGCCTCGCACTTGGCTGGTTTTTCAGATTTCAGTCTTTTTAACTAGACGACCTCCGTGGTCGAGTGGTTTGTACGCCGGGTGTCATGGTGTAGCCGACTCGAGAGGTCCCGGGTTCGAATCCCGGTGGAGGCAGATGTTTGTGTGATGAATACGAGCATTTGCACTTCAGTCATGGATGTTTAATATGTTTTTCTATATAAATATACTTATATATGTACAGTATATGTATTCTATCCGTTACCCTAGCATCCCATAACTCAAGCCTTACAGTGCTTACTTTGGGGCTAGGCTAATTGGTGTGTGTTGGAAATATTTATATTTATTATTTATATTATAATTAGATAGGCAAATGTTTCCGCTTCACCTAGTGTTAAATGGTACTGGGAGTCCAGATGCAAAGAAACATGTCATTTCCATTCGAAAGTACAGTTTTAAAGAAATTAATGTAAACATATTTAGTGAATACTTATTTTGACAGTCGCTAACACCGTTGACACTTAAGAGGCTAAAGAGCGAGATGTAATCTGCTCTAGGAGATGAGAGTAAAAGAGATTACTTTAGTGCGCTCTATTGCCGAATGTTGGCGTGATAATAATAATAAAGCCTTTTACTTAATCCATATAGGTTATTCACATTTTGGAAAAGTTGTTAGTTTCTTAGTTGCAATTCTTGATTGTTAAGTTGGTGGTATTAGTTTTTATTCAGGTGCATGGATCCCTCTTTGGGTGAAGGCCTCCTCCAGTTTTTCCCATTCTTTCCTATCTTGATGTTGGCGCATAACCTGTCTATATTACTGACACACGATAAAAAATGTCATTATTATGTTAATTGTGATGGTCATGCTACGGGGATTGATCCAGCTCCTTAATATGATGACCCCAATACCCATCATAAGATTCTCATGTAGGTAGTTTGGGTCTATGATGATTATACGTCATTGGTTTGGGTATTATTAAAACTGATTGAATAAAGAAAAAATATTATTAAAAGTACTGGTCTTCGAGAATAGAGAAGAAGTATTAATTTAGATAATAAGATGAGGAATTAAATAGTTCATTTTGAAATATTTTTTTTATTAACATAACCAAATTATAATCTTAGTTAACTATAGACACTATTAAATTTGCCAACTTTATTCAGTAAATCCTTATGAAATAATTGTATGTTAATAAAATATTCAAAATGCTTTGTATTAGTAAAGTTGTATTTTAATCACAAAAACATTAAATATTTTGGATGTATGATATTTTATATGACATATGAAAATGAAGATCAACCAAAAAGAAAACTGAATAATTTAACATAATTAATTTGTAAAATTAAAATATTCTTTATACCCATTCAAATATTTATTAAAGCAAAATGTTCAACATAAATGCACTTGACACCTGATATAAAATTTACATAATTATTGGCTCTAATTTTTTTTTCTATCTATATACATAATTATGGTATAGGTACTTTAATTTTATTGTATTTGATATTATTATGCAAAATAAGTCATAATTTTTAGAGAACTGTCAAAGTAATCCATAATTTTCAAGTAGGTACAGTTTATTTTTGATCATACCTTTGTAAACGCATAAATACTAAGAGACTTGTCTCTTTACTAGTTAGAAGTGGCTTATGTCTAGTTGATAGGTCGATGCTCACTGAGCTGGAGGTTGGTTATCACCCGGTCCAGGAGGACGCACTTGCCTGCGCAGTTGCTCTACCAACTCAGGATTTGCAGCTTGCATATGTTGAGCCAGGGCTTGGCCAGCCTCCAACAAAGCACTCATACCTCCAGCACCTTGACCTGGTGCAGTTGCAGCAGTATTATTCATCAAACCAGAAATTAGATTCTGCATATTAGGATCTGCAAGCATTTCAGTTGCCATGTTTAAAAGGGCGGGGTTCTGTAGTAAGCCTCCAAGGTCCATCGGGCCACGTTCACCGAGTTGGGAGAGGCGTTCATCAGATAATCTCAACTGTTGTTGGAAATTTTCATTGTCAGGCTCGAGTTGCACTGCTCGAAGGAAAGCTTGTCGCGCTTCACGATGCCTATCTAACGCTGTCAAGGCAAGTGCTAACCGATGATGAGCTTTGGCGTACTCGGGCTGCAAAGCTAAAGCAGCCATACAATCTGCGACAGTCGATTCATTTTCACCCAATTTGAAGTGAGCAGCAGCGCGGTTACAGAAATATAAAGCATTACGGGGATCCAGTTCGATGGCACGCGTGTACTTTTCGTGTGCCTCACGGTAACGTTCGTTCTTCATTAATTCGTTACCCTCGCATTTCAGCCGCTCTGCTTCAGCGCGGTTTGTGGCAGATTGCCCTCCTTGTTGCTTCCTAATTAACTGTAAGAGGTCTACGCCTTTTGCCGCATCTTCCGGGCCTATTTCGAATGCGGTTTCTATGCACTGCACGCCAACCTCTACGCTCTCTCTCGAGTCCACACTCAATGTATCACCGTCCAACTGCTGTTTCAGAAAGTTCACAATACTAGCCGCTACGATTTTGATTTCAGACATTTTTGAAGTGCAGCTCTGGTTTATCTAAAAGCTTATCTCTTTAAAATTTTATAATATTTTTAGATTTTACAGAATAAAATTAGGACCGACAACAAAACGTCACTACAATGACATTGACAATACAATATATCTTTTTAAAATTCACAGAGTAAACGCAAAGGTTTTGATACTCGTACAGCCAATGTGACTATGGTTACTTTATTTTCATAAAGATCAAAATAACGTAAAAGTCAAGCCATTCAAATAATTACCAGTATTTTTAGGTTTAACTTACTGTTTTTAAGATTTGACAATTAAATGTACGTAGTACAAGATGTCTGTCATTATTGAAATACTCTTAGTAGGTAATATTCTACGTGGTTTGGTGAAATAGGTACCGCAGAAACTTCCACCTTTCGTATAATCCTCTTTACGGCCACTTGCACAATCCAGTCAATAATAAATTCTGTATTTAAATGCTAACTATTTAATCCGTCCATTTAATATGTCAGGCACTAGTGCAATCCAGAGTTAACTCATTTATGCTAAACCGTGTTAAAATGTAATTATTAATAAATTATCAATACAATTGAAAACGTACCTACGTAATTTTGTAAGTTAAAGGGACACTTGCCTACATGATATACAACACTTCATGTTTTTCAATTGTGGATCTGGTGTCATTTACACAGATTCTAACAGAATATTTTTATCACTGGTGTCGATGCTGGCTTGATTCTCTAATATTTCGACACTACAAGGCGATTAATGAAATGAAACTTTTTTACGCATGCTTGACTAGGGGGGTAAGATGGCAAATGTGTTACGCGTTATTAGCTACAACGTCATTGTATATGTCTCTCGCATCGTACTCGAGCTCTCGTATACAATTGACATTGAACCTAACTGCCATTATCATGTTATTTTGAACAATCTGGTTAATGTTATCTGTATAATGTTTATCACAGCGCCGCTCGGAAGGAAGTCCCAATCTTCAAAACCTTTTTGAAGATTGCGACTCTACTTATTTCTATACGTCAATGAGTGTACCGTACCACACACTAAGATACTACTTTTGTAAAATAAAGGGATTGAAATAATAAATCATTCTTAGTAAAAAATAAGTTAGTTTATTTATAAACTTAATACACTCTTCAACATAGTATCTAAGAGGAATGACATGGGGCCACATTACTGTAAATAAACGGTAGCAGAATTGTCGAGTACATTTTTTTTTATTTTCACGATAGTGAAAGCGGAGGAATATAAATCCATTCAGCAATTATTTATTCGTTGTGCACGTGACATATTTTTTTTTTCTTTAACGAGTTTCAATACAGTGCGACCAAGATCCTTATGAATGTGCCGAAAATTGGAACAAACGGCTTCGCCTCCGTAAACGTTATATTTTGTATGTCATTTTCGGCCATTTACGGGCAACTGTCAATCACATTCATATAGATCCTTTAACTCAGACATTGGAAGAATCGTGACGTAATGAGACGCAGCCATAATCACCAAAAATTGAATTGAAGTGGTCGCACTGTGCACTGTAGGAAATATTGCAATAAAATTCTCAGTTCTGCCTTGTTGGATTGATCATTTATACACATAGTGATCATTTATATACATAAAGTGTTTGCATATATCGAATAATTAACTGAACAGTCACAATTAAAAAAAAAATAAGCACTACATGTTTAAATTAGAAGCATAACGGAACGGTAATAGCAAAGCTCTAGTGTTATGGTTCACTGATTTTTCTTAGTATTTCCCTGGTAAATAGTCTGAAACTTTCGATTTGTCACAGTGCACACATAGCATACATTAAAGCGGTGCCTCCCAATAGACAGATTTAGTGCATCAGCGCATTTTACCTGCCAATCAAATACTTCTTCTGTGTTATACATAGTGTCCTGCATTAAACAGTTACAATGAACCAACACACGTGCCTAACTAATTCTTTAATAGTATAAATAAGTGCTCAATACCAGCGCATTTCACCTGCCCAAATTTTTTTATGGTAAACAATAAACGACTCGCGTTAAGTAGTTTAAGTGCATTTAAGCTGTTCAATATTTTTTTCCATGATATTATTTCACTGTTCTGCATTAGGGGGTCTCTGTCTACAAGCACAGATCATTTCACAGGTTGCTTGTTCAGGGTTAAACGGCCAAAGCGCCATCTGTAATGACGTTTGCGTTTTCTTTCCAATTAGGTCGGCTCAGAGCTGGTGAAACGGCATGTTGTCCAGCAGCACAAAGCCCCCTCACTACTTTTTTCTTTTTTTTTAACACTCCAATTAGCATATTGATTAGACACGTCACTGTGACGTCACGGCCGGATAAATGAGGTCGGCTCACAAGTGGGCGGGGCTCCGGTACTGGTGGGGCGGGGCGTTGTCCAGCAGGCAGGGCCAGTCGCGCAGGTGGCGCGAGCGCGTGAACACGTCGCGGGGCAGCGCGCGGGCTGTATACGGCTCACAGGTTGGTTTTTATTTGATTAGACACGTCAGTGTGAAGTCACGGGCAGACGACGAATGAGGTCGGTTCATATGTGGGCGGGGCTTCGGCACTGGCAGGGCGGCGTGTGAGTAACAGTACGAAGCACCCTCGCTAGATTGATTAGACACGTCAGTGTGATGTCACGGCCGGATAAATGAGGTCGGCTCTCAGGTTGGCGGGGCGGGGGCGCGGGTGGGGGCGCGGGTGGGGCGGCGCGTTGTCCAGTAGGCAGGGCCAGTCGCGCAGGCGGCGCGAGCGCGTGAACACGTCGCGGGGCAGCGCGCGGGCTGTATACGGCTCACAGGTTGGTGGGGCGCGGGTGGCGCGGCGCGTTGTCCAGCAGGCAGGGCCAGTCGCGCAGGCGGCGCGAGCGCGTGAACACGTCACGGGGCAGCGCGCGGGCTGTATACGGCTCACAGGTTGGTGGGGCGCGGGTGGCGCGGCGCGTTGTCCAGCAGGCAGGGCCAGTCGCGCAGGCGGCGCGAGCGCGTGAACACGTCACGGGGCAGCGCGCGGGCTGTATACGGCTCACAGGTTGGTGGGGCGCGGGTGGCGCGGCGCGTTGTCCAGCAGGCAGGGCCAGTCGCGCAGGCGGCGCGAGCGCGTGAACACGTCACGGGGCAGCGCGCGGGCTGTATACGGCTCACAGGTTGGTGGGGCGCGGGTGGCGCGGCGCGTTGTCCAGCAGGCAGGGCCAGTCGCGCAGGCGGCGCGAGCGCGTGAACACGTCACGGGGCAGCGCGCGGGCTGTATACGGCTCACAGGTTGGTGGGGCGCGGGTGGCGCGGCGCGTTGTCCAGCAGGCAGGGCCAGTCGCGCAGGCGGCGCGAGCGCGTGAACACGTCACGGGGCAGCGCGCGGGCTGTATACGGCTCACAGGTTGGTGGGGCGCGGGTGGCGCGGCGCGTTGTCCAGCAGGCAGGGCCAGTCGCGCAGGCGGCGCGAGCGCGTGAACACGTCACGGGGCAGCGCGCGGGCTGTATACGGCTCACAGGTTGGTGGGGCGCGGGTGGCGCGGCGCGTTGTCCAGCAGGCAGGGCCAGTCGCGCAGGCGGCGCGAGCGCGTGAACACGTCACGGGGCAGCGCGCGGGCTGTATACGGCTCACAGGTTGGTGGGGCGCGGGTGGCGCGGCGCGTTGTCCAGCAGGCAGGGCCAGTCGCGCAGGCGGCGCGAGCGCGTGAACACGTCACGGGGCAGCGCGCGGGCTGTATACGGCTCACAGGTTGGCGGGGCGCGGGTGGCGCGGCGCGTTGTCCAGCAGGCAGGGCCAGTCGCGCAGGCGGCGCGAGCGCGTGAACACGTCGCGGGGCAGCGTGCGGGCTGTATACGGCTCACAGGTTGGCGGGGCGGGGGCGCGGGTGGGGCGGCGCGTTGTCCAGCAGGCAGGGCCAGTCGCGCAGGCGGCGCGAGCGAGTGAACACGTCGCGAGGCAATGCGCGGGCTCCCCCGTCAGCAGCGGCGGCTAGCGCGCCTCCTGTCCACGCGCACACATTGTCGTGGCACGCGGACTTGTGGAATTTAAACTCGCGCACGTAGAGGCGGTCGCTGGTCAATAGAAAATTTATTCATTGAGAAGAAAAGTAGAAGCACGTTAAGTCCACACTAGCGTCAACGTCGTGCTAGCGTCGATGCGACGACGACGCCAGTGCTGGCCGGCTTGCATTGTACTTGTATGCAAAAAACTTTAAATTGATGCGATGCTAGCGCTGCGCAAGCCCAGGTTTCCGCAGCCGGCCAGCACTAGCGTCGCTTCGCCACTACGTCGACATTGCGCAGACGCTAGCACAACAACAACGCTCGTGTTCCAAGCTTAAACGTTAGGTTTTTGACGAGCATTCTATATCTTATATAATTTATTGATTTTCATAACCTTTGTTTTCTTTTCAGAGCCCTTATTCAGATTTATCTGTTTTATTTATAATTAACTGCATGCAGATAATTACTTTAAACTGTACGACTCTTTCAAGAACTATGCAATGTACTACATGGCATGGACACAATCTAAACAGATACATAAAACCAACTGCTAGTGATTGTGGTAGGATTCACTAATTGTATTTGCTTGAATCACTTGCCAAATGTAGGCATGACGTGTATGCTTGTTTCACTAATTCTTATCGATAGAGGAGCTATAAACTGGATTTCTCTGTCTAACAATTTTTTCATCCTATATTAAATTAAAATTGCCTTAATATATTTACCTGTACGGCGGCTGCGTTACTAGATACCGTAGTTCATGAGCTAGTCTTGCTTTCAGGCCGAGCATGGAAGCGGTGCCACCAGTCACCAGAATGTTCTCGGCTAAAGCTCGACGAGCGTCGATCGGACACTACGAACAAAATATGTACATTGAAAATATGTGGCGTCAAATGGAAACTTTATCTGCCTTAATACACTGGTAATATGTTATAATAGGAGCTCGATGGCGCAAGTGGTTAGCGTGTTCGGTTGGGATCGTTCAAGTTAAGATCTTTCGCAGTGGTCAGTCATTGTATGGGTATTTATTTACCATTTTATTGGTCTGCTATCAACATTTCTAAGCGACTTAATCAGAATTGAGATCGATGAGAGAAGCTTTACTACCCGTGTCGCAGGTTAGTACAATTTAAGGAGGGTCTGGTCTGCTATTCACTATGTAGCCGCCCTAGGCCCCGACAGCGGGTACTGCACGTTCTTGGCCGCGGTCACCCATTCTATACGTGCCCTTTGAAAACGTTGCTTAACATTGTCGACGGCAGACCAAGAGATTCATAAACTATACTTCCCTGCACCTCGGGTAGTAAAGCTCTTCTCCTGAATCCTGATAAAGTTTCTTGAAACTTCACCTGTATGAGACGCTGCAGCACCATTTCTGTCTCTTCTTCTTCTCGTTCGGTTCACTCTTGTCAGAGCGGTCGTGATCATGATGAGGCATCTGGAGAGGGGGTAGATGTAGATATTTAGTCGTCTTACAATGTATCGCCACCTTGCTCTATTCAATTGAATTCACCTGTATGATGCACTGCAGCACGATGTCGGGCAGTGAGGCGAGCTCGTTGTCCCTGGTGAACAGTGGCTCAGCCGCCAGTTCTCTGCTTCGGCCGGAGACAGTGATGGGAGTACTGCATGCTATGCAGTACCCCGACAGCGAGTACTGCATCCTATTGGATGGGGAAGGGCCGCGGTCTCCCATCCTATACGTAGCCTTTGAAAACGTTGCTTAACATTGTCGATGGCAGACCAAGAGATTCATAAATTATACTTCCCAGCACCTTGGGTAGTAAAGCCCTTCTCCTGAATCCTGATAAAGTTTCTTGAAACTTCACCTGTATGAGACGCTGCAGCACCATTTCTGTCTCTTCTTCTTCTCGTTCGGTTTACTCTTGTCAGAGCAGTCGTGATCATGACGAGTCATCTGGAGAGGGGGCAGATGTAGCTCGTCTTACAATGTCTCGCCACCTTGCTCTATTCAATTGAATTTACCTGTATGATGCATTGCAGCACGATGTCGGGCAGTGAGGCGAGCTCGTTGTCCCTGGTGAACAGCGGCTCAGCCGCCAGTTCTCTGCTTCGGCCGGACACAGTGATGGGAGCGCGCCCCGACAGCGGGTACTGCACGCTCTTGGCCGGAGTGGGGCCTTTATCCTCTAACCACTGGAGCGCCCGCTCGCGAGGACCGACGAAACACGCCTTTACTGCGGCCAATAGAAATGATTGCCTTTTTTTTTTTTTTTTTACAATAGAAATGATTGCCTATTTTCATATAAAATTCGAATGGGGTCGATGGGTTAATCTTTTTTTAATGGTGTATGCTGTTGGTCGCAGATAACTTTTACAGCGTCGCCGGCTTTGGGGACGGCGAGATCCTAAGGGGACCTCAAGCCGAGAATTGGTGAGTGCTTCTAGAGGCATTCCAGGCGGATGGCATCTCCCCACTGGGGGAGTCTCCTTTCCGTTTGGAGCCTCTGGACCATCCGAACCTGAGGGGTCGGCTAAACTAGAGGGCGTCTGTGACTTGGACCTCCGCTAGCCGACCTCGGTTAGCCGTTGTCGTGGGGGGCGTAAAGCATGTCGTGTGTAGACCGGGTCTTTGCACTCTTATCCTATAGGTGCAGTGTCTGCCTAATGGAGGAGGAGGAGTAAATCGGAGGGAGCTCGATGCGTATTCAGCTGCGTTCGTTAAAAGTTAAGCAGCTTTCGCAGTGGTCGGTGGTTGGATGAGTGACCAAAATTTACTATCTCGAGATTCTCGTTGCTTCGGAAAACACGTTTCGTTATTTTTTAACACCAACCAATCTGCACTGGGCTATGCGGATGTGTCGTGGTCGTGGCCCAATCTCCCTATTCTATCCATGGGGAAGGCTTGTGCCCCAGCAGTGGGGGCATTAATAGGCTGATGATGATGATGACATAAAACTTATTGATTGATATTTATGAGGCAGACCAAAAAAATATGCTAATAACTTTTTTTATGTATGCCGCAGTAAATTACTTTGATTGCTGTTAATTGCCCCTCTAGCCATATTATAGTTTTCGAGACTTGAAATCCTATTCCTCTTGTCCATTTGTCAATATAACAACAGTAATCCAACAATACCAAACAGCTTCAATTTTCTATAAGGTAAAAGTTACTTCTTTATCAAGGTGCTTCAATCCTTTGATCAGTTTTAATTAACACTAGGTTAGGTGAAGTATGCATGCACAACGAATAAGCAAGTCAATACTAATATTATAAATGTGAAAGTACATATGTTTGTTACTCAAAACTATTGAACTGGTTTGGATGACATTCGGTTCACATATAGTTAACAACCTGGATTAAGACAACGGAAACTTTTATTCCAGAAAAATTTTTAGTTGGGATTCTCGAAAACCTAAAGTTAACGCGGACAAAGTCATACGCAGTCACTAGTATAAAACAATAACTACATATAGCACTTAAGTTTTCGAACATCAACTTGAAGAAATATGACTTCGACTTTACATTACAATACAACATAATATACTGATTACCTTTGATGTCCTCAATAATATGATCTGGCAGGTGTAACTCAGTGTTGTTATCTTCGTCTAGTAGGCGTGAGAGTTCGTCATGTATAGCACGGGCGGCTATTGGCTGGGATTGGATTGCATGCAGAACCACTGACGCATGGACCACTGGAACAAATACAGTTATAACCATTTTATATTATTATACAACTTCATTTATGTTTAAGTGCTTTCTTATATACAGCATGGCAATGGCAACATATTGTGTGTTTATCATCCAATCATGATGAGAATATATTCAGCATATAAATAACATTCTGACTGGTTGATTGTGGAAATTCTGATTGGTTGATTTTGAAAAATTAGCTGACTTATTCTTTTATAAGGTTTATTTGGACATAACTAAAAAAAAAATATGTAATAAAATAAAAAATAATGAAAAGCAAGAGTCTGGGGATTCACATTAAAAGGAAAGCCTTCGATACCTGTATTTTACCGTGTCTGACCTATGGTTGTGAATCTTGGTCTTTAACGACGCAGCTAAGGGATAAGCTGACTCATTGTCAATGGGCAATGGAGAGAAGTATGTCAGGAGTAAGTCTAAGGGATAGAATAAGAAGTGAGGATCTAAGATCTAAAACGCAATTAACAGACATATCTAGAGTGGACAAACAAAAATGGAGGTGGACTGGCCACTTGCTGAGAGGTACCATAGACAAATGGAGCAAGCAAGTGACAGTCTGGTATCCTAGAGATGGAAAGCGTAGGAGAGGACGCCAGTTTAGAAGATGGGAGGATGAAATCAGCTGTACTCTGGATCCGTATTGGACAAGAGTTGCAGCTGACAGAGGTGAATGGCGTCGGTTGGAGGAGGCCTTTGCCAAAAGGCACACAGAACTGCGTGACTTATTGTAAAATGCATAATCAATGTAACGTAAAGAAAGTTCTGAAATAAAGGCTATTTTATTTATTTATATAAAAAAATGGGATACCACTCAAGGTAGACTAAATCTGGAGACAACTACCCCCTTATTTATAAACGAAGACTATGCATGGACTACTTACTTCATGTTTTGTCTCTGTCTATTGAACGACAAATGGCATTCATGTCATGAACAAAACATGGCGTAACTAGTCTTTGCTTATTACTTGTTTATTAATAAGGGGGCTAAAATCTTATCATTGACTAAACAAAGAGTAGGTTTAACACGAACATCATATAGATAGATATACTTTAGTTTTGTACTTTACAACCAAGTAATTTTGCGACTGATTGTTATACCTGCACAAACCTCCGCCTCCCTGGCTCCTATGGAAACTATTAGGGCAATTGGAGTGCCTAAAGTGATGGCACACAGGCGAGGGCTATCAGCCCACATTACACCAGAAACCTGTTGATAACATGTCATGATAAAATAAAAAAAATCTTCAAACTAATAATTATCAATAACAATGTTCTAACTACAATATTACTATGAAATAATAATAATAAATATTTCTAACACTCCTAGAAATTAGCCTAGCCCCAAATTATTGTGTTAAAGGATGCTAGGGTTACAGATAAAATACTTATGCTGATACTTAAATATGTATATTTTATATAGATATACATATTGCAACACCCATGACTGGACTACAAATGTTATTCATCACACAAACATCTGCCCCCACCAGGTTTCGAACCTGGGACCTCTTGAGTAGGCAACACCTTGAAACACAAATTGAAAATGTTATGGTAATATAAATAAAAATACTGTTTGTAGGCTAGCATAACATACATTACATGAGCAGACATTGAATTGAAAACTTTTTGAATTTCTTTTTAAGCATATAGGTATGACATTAACACATGAGTTACCTCATAATGTGTGAAGAGGACTTTGGCTAGTGTTTCTCTAAAAAGAGTAGGTGTCAGTAGCGACTCAACCACAACCACTTTACGTTCCTTTGGATTCACTAAGACATGCCTGAAAATAAACAAAAATTATAGTTATGTTTTTATTTTAAGCATTTAACTGCTAGATGTTTAAATCTAAAGAAAAGTTATCTACAATGTGAAGAGAGGGGGCTGCCTTGCAGTCTAAGGCTACGAAAAATTCAACACGGCCGTCAGGGTTGCAGATGCATAATGGTCAGTGTATTCGCCTGGATAGCGAAGCGTGCGGTTTGGAGTCCCGTTTACTGAATGGTCTGTGTGGATTTTTTTCTAGTAAACTTTTCTTTAGATTTAATATCTGTAGAATTCTGTGAATTCATAGTTTTAAAATTTTTATGGTCATTAACGTTATATTCATAACTGGGTTGGCTACCATGTACCAAGATACCAGAAATTCACAATAACTGGTTACATGGTAGCAATCCTGCTAATGAACATAATTTTGTGAATTCTATTAGATTATAATGGTAATAGGGATAGACAAGTTTTAGAAAACAATCTCAGGTTATTAACTAATGTTTGTGGAGTCCATAAATAGTGGATATTTATTTTATTTTATTTTATTTTCAAGTCACCGCAAAATGTTTCTCTGGACATTATGGCGTAACACCAGTGTGTGACATCACATGATTGTTATTAAAATGTCAAACAATACAATTTAATGTCACTTTGGCTGGAAGTTCACTAGCGTTCAACATCATTTTAGTCTTGGCCAATCACAGGTGCTTGCGGTCATGTGACCATGGAGCAAAAAACTCATTTCTCTTTAATGGTTTTATAAAAAAGCTATTAGTTATTTGTTCTTTCAGAATAGTAAAGTCGCTGCTAATATTCACATTAAAAACAGATGCGAACAACTGTTTTTTTATTCATATTTTGAAAGAGCCTATTTAATTATAGAATATGATAACATCTAACCCAAAATACCATAGCATCAATAATGAGCAATAGAATTTAATCCTAGCAGATGCTAATTTTAAACTCTGAATCTCTGGCTTCCCCAGTGAAACCCATCTTTAATAAAATAATAACTACGATGTTAGTCATATTGGAACTTACCTGAAGTAGAGCAAGTGCAACATATGCACAAGGTTGTCATATAGCTCTTCTGCTGTATGGTAGTCATGTACCCGTTTGTATCGCCGTTCTGATGTACACCAAAATTCCGAGCGAATGATGCATCTGGGTGCGGCTTCGCCAGTGAAACCAAACCTTTATAAAATAATAACTACGATGTTATTCAGACTTATTTCCTATCTTAACGAGAAAAGTTTAATTAACTTATACAGAATAAGGAAAAATAAAGAATTCACCGTTAAATGTTGTGAAAACTTACTTGGTATAATCAGTCCCCAAATCTAGGACAACCGCTTGCTTCTCTTGAATCAAAGCAATGCCTTCGTACAAAGCCATAGTTGTTAAATAATTGGTTTACAATATAGAATTAAACATTATATTAAATTTAAAGTAAATTTAATAGAAAAGTTTTACGAATTTCCGCTAAACACACATAGAAGAACATTAATACTTGTCAGTGTCACTGTCAATTGTCAGTGCAATTTATTTAAGATTCTCCCTTTTCAGGGAAGACAAAAGAAATAATACCCATACAGCCTAGTCTAAAGTTTTTTTTATTTACATTAGAATGTGGGTGTGCCGTATTCTAATATTTCTAGGAGTGTTTAGCACGAAATGTCTTGAGTTGGCTTTTTCGATAAGCTTCTGTGAGGTAGTCAAGACTACAATAAAGTTCTCACGTCCACTTGACCAGAATAGCGAATATTTTAAAGATTCCACTAATTCTTCAGTTGCGCAGACGGTTATGACACAAAATCACGCCAACTTTATTTCACCATATCCACTACGAACGAATTTAAGAATAATTCGCAACTGATGACGCACTCGATAAAATCCCACCAAAAACTCCTGTCAATGTCAAACTCACAGTCAACTTTTTATTTTTGACTAATGTGACTCCGGTCTAGCGCCCATCTGCCAGTGTCCCGTACTGAGAAATATCCACAGACATATAACTAGTATTATATGTCTGTGGAAATATCAGTGTTGAATTGTCAGTTCTGGAAAGGACGTGCACATAGATTAGTTTTGAGAAAGGGAATATGCAGACAGGAGCCGTTACATTTTTTTTGTTAACCAAACCATTTTATCAATTTAAATTGTTATCATAGGAGTTACGAGGAATTTATTGTCAGTTACAGTTACAGTATACCTTCACAGTTTAATATTAATTTCAAGAATAAATTTGGCCAAGATATCAATTATTTGTGGAGAAAATTGCCAAAAAGGATCGGGAATTTTACTAAAGAGAAAATTCAGGACTTCTAATAGGAATTGATTCATAGTATTAATTCCAAATCGATAACTAGTATTTTATTTACATAATTTTAATTAAAAAGAATGTACAATTCCATACATGTTTTTTTTTTATAAATTATAGGCAATTCCGTGTTGTAATAATGTTTGTATAATCGCACCTTTATTTCCCGCGCGTCTAAATTCGCCGCTGAGTCGAGACGCTGCGCCGTTTAGTGGTATTTTATTGCAATTGTGGACGGCTTGTGACGAAAATAAAGCATATTTTAGAAAATACAGCTTTAATCATTTACATTTTGTGAAAAAAGTTGACACACTCGAAGAAAAGTATCTTTGTAAAAAATCAATAACATTGAAGCTGCCCCACTTTAGAATAAAAAAGTAGTGTTTTTATTACAACAGAACTTTTAGACTAGGCTAATTATATACACAGAAAGAGTAAAACCTGTAGTTTTTAAAAACATGCAACAATTAGCATATGTTCTTCCAAAATGTATCTGTTTTTGAGCTAAATAATCCAATGGCCGCGCTGCCGGCCGGGCGCTGGTTTTGTGGGCCGTTTGCTGCCAAGATGGCCGCCGTCGACAGGAGTTATAATAGTCAATTACACTTCTAGTCAAAGCATTGTAAACCAGCTTGGACCAGACACCTGCAAGTGCTTTTAGGATTGCGACACGTCGTTCCCTTTTTTTTAAAATCGCAGCAGTATGTCAGGCACATACTAGACAGCCTAGAGTCCAACTCGAAACCCAGGAATTTCGCGCTATTTTTAATTGGAATTGTAGCATCATTTATAGATATTATCTATCGGGATATTTCTTCTGCGGCTAAACACTACCGCCGAGCTAGCTAGCTGTTATTGTCAGTCCATGATTTAAGAGCCATTGCTTTAGATATGCTAAGGAAATGTTAAGTTGATTAGCCAAATCCTTAATAGACGGACCGCACTGGTAAAGTGCAATGTCATCCGCGTACTGGAGAATTTTACAATCGTAGTTAAGATATTGATGGAGATCCCCAGTATATAAGTAATATACTAGGGGACTTAGTACCGAGCCCTGAGATAGACCCCTCCAACCCGTTTTCTCCACAACAGTCTCATTCGGCATTAGATGGAGCGGGCGTGCAGAGAGCATATTACAAACAATTCGTATAATCTTAGCTGGCATTCTCAGTTAATGCAACTTGTACCTGAGAACAGAAAGAAGAACATTGTCTTAGGCAGAGAAAATATCCAAAAAAACCTTATTACTTATTTATGGTTTTAAGATTTTTGAAATTGTATAGCTATCGTCCAACAGGACGATAGACGATTTTTTTGAAATGTTTGGTCGGTAGATTATTTTCCGATGTAAGCGAAGGAGCTGCGTGTATTTTTCTACAATTAAAATCAGGATTAGTTGGCATTTCCCACTCTTTCTCGGATGGGGGACTAACTGTCGGTATCGGAGAATAATCAAATGGTTAATCAGGGGGGTTAGGATCCGGTAGGATTTTAGGTTACATTTTGCGGAACCTTTGGCGATCACATGCAAGAAAAAAATAATAAATACTTAAGACACTGATTATGACACAAATCAATGGAAAAACATGCAAAATTTCAGGAGAGAAAGGGTAGATAACCGACTTCTCTCTTCCGATACCAGCAGACCTTATTCAGAGCAGCATCAGCCAGCAGACAGATTCCACAGACTAGACTACTGAGGTCAAACTGTCACTATCAATGTCAAAATGTTTTTAAATTTTACATAATGTAAGAATTAGGATTGTACGATCATACAGTCACATTTTAGGATTAGTTGGTAAATGAATTTAAAACTCTCAATTAACTTCTTTGAAAATTACGTAAAATGGACTTGTCCATGGAGAAATTAATCACTTGCACAAACTATAGAGTGATGCTAGCGCATATCACTTGATATAGTGACAGTCGGCGGACAAAATTTAAAATGTTCAATACAAGGTTATAAAGTTAGTTAGTTAGTTATGTTAGTTAGTTACTAATAAAAAATAATAATCACCTGTTTATTCAAATACTTCTGTTTATTCTGTTTCCCATACGAAGTATTGATGGGAACTTTTCATTCCGTAAAACTCCTCAGATTGCATCGGTAAGTTAAATAAGTCGTATTGCAAATTTTGTAAGAATTAATTCAGATATCACTGGCACTAAATTATACATATATGGAAAATAGATTTCCCTTCGGTATCACTAAGTCGTAGCTCGACTGATGGGCTGATAACAAAAAATCAGAATACACCAGCTGCTAACTTTCAAAGCAGACAAAATGAATATGTTTATATTACTGACCATTATCATGATTGTTTAGAGGACAAGAATTATAGCCTGATTTTTATTACTGCTAACAAAATCCTTGTATGCTGTTCAAATAATTTAACGCCTGATCGTAAGCGGCCACCACTGCAATTAGAGGCTTGCGATTACGGAGTATTATTTGGGATTTCAAGGTGTCGCCTACTCGGACATCTCGGGTTCGAATCCCGGTGGGGCAATTGTTTGTATGATAAGTACCTACGAGTATTTGTACCTGCGTCATGGATGTTTATATGTATTGCTAGATATACTTACGTTTCGTATCAGACTATAATAATATGCATTCTACCTGTTACCCTAGTATCCCATAAAAAAGCTTTTTAGCGCCTACTTTGGGGCTAGGCTAATTAGCCCCAAAGTAGCAATTACACCAATTGGTGTATGTTCTAACACATATTTATTAATTATTTATTATAATTTGCGGGTGGCTTACGTCTAAATTTACCCCAAGAACAGTCACATAGACCATGGGCTCGCAGCTGGCGGTAGCGGCGACTGCAGCCGTCGCCCTATTGACGGCAGCAGTCGGCGAGCCGTCCGTCAGCCGTTTACCGGTTAACCGGATGATGAGTCGACAGCTGCCGTCAAAAGCCCTCTGCAGCAGAAGGACAAATTTGCATAAAGGCAGAAGTACTGACACGCAGAAAACAAAAATAAACATTCTATTGCAGATATGTCATTGTATAAACTCGTGGTAACTGGATTTTTTTTAACCTTATGTGTATTAAGGTCAGAACGTTTTTGTGGTATGCTTTTGCCGATTAATTTAAGATATTGAAAGTATGCTTCTTTTTTAATAGCTGCATAAACAGGAAGAGTGAAGGTTCCGCAGGTATTTTTATATTGATCCTCAGGTGCCATCCCTCTACACCATTCATTGTTCGAAAATTTTCTTTTTGGGGATCCACTGGTTCTGTGAATACTTCTGGAATTCGTTAAATTCTGGTTTTTCGGGACACATGTCACATAGGATCTCGATGCCGTAGGTGGTTAGCGCGTTCGGCTGCGATCGAAGAAGTTAAGCAACTTTCGCAGTGGTCGGTCAATGGATGAGTGACCAAAAATCTTCTATCTCGAGTTCTTCAGTGCTTCGGAAGGCACGTTAAGCCGTTGGTCCCGGCTGTAGTCGTTAGCACACGCCATTCCGCACTGGGTCCGCATGATGGCCCAATCTCCCTATTCCATCCATAGGAAAGGCCTGTGCCCTAGCAGTAGGGACATTAATAGGCTGATGATGATGATGATGTCACATATAGCTTTTTTGACGACGACAGAACATTATCTGCCTTTATACAAATCTGTCCTCTGCTAATCTGGGATTTTGCTAATCTGGCATATTACTTATCTGTCCTTCTGCTGCAGAGGGGTCAAACGGTGGCGACGGCTGCCGTCGGCTGCGAGCCGCTCGTTTATATATATCGCCATACATATTTGCGTGCAGTCATCTGCACAGAGAACATTTTTATCTCGGACGATGATTCGTTTCGATACAAGAAACCGCTTTGAACCTCATAATTATATAGATTTTTGAACTAAGAGTTCGCAATATGGTCTTAGATTAATATAAATTAATGGTTTCAGGCATTACAAATATGGCGAACATTTGCTGGAAGTTTTTATAGAGGCACGTAACTCGAAATTAAAGACCCATCAGCAGATAATCCAGAAAACAATATCCTTGCAGCCTAACCCAGTCAGTCCCAAGAATCAGCTCCCGAAGTTCACATCAGCATCTGGTGGGAGACGCTGTTTCGTCGGTTCTGTAGCAAAATTCTTGGACTCATTTTTCAACAGTTACTCATAATGATAAAGTAGGTTACGTATTTTTAGAAATGTGGTCTTATTTGCTAACCCGGCGAATTTCATACCACTTATAATATTCTTTTTTTATGTATGTTTTTTTTAAATGTCTTTAGCACAAACTTTATGTCCTGAAAATAACGAACATATACAAAAAGAATTTTGCTACATTTCGTTTATACATTTTTATATAGAGATTTATTAGATTTTTATTTATACTTGCTTAATGTTATAATAAGCGGTCACTAGAACATTTAGACCTTGGCTATGCCTGAGAGAATTACTTGCGAGACATCTTCCCAACTTATTTTCTTATTTGTGGAGATAAATATCTTTAGTTATACCAGTTCTTCTCAGTACAAAGCCTCAGTCCTTAGTCAAAAGAAAAAGATTTGCGAACTAGTGACGTCCACTTTCGACTAGTACAAAAACAACGAAATTTAATATGATTTAAAGGTTTAAGTGGTTTAAGTGTGACAGCATAAAACTTCAGAAATTATATTGAATTTAGTTGTTTAATTGCAATTTATTATTTGTTGTGTTCCTGATTTACTTTTGAAAGTGCATTGTACAGCAGGATATGGCTGTTGATAATAACAGCAATACCTGTAAAAGACTAACTGTAGAATCTCTAAAACTCTAAAATAAATTTAAAAAATGAAACAAATATTAAATTAACTAAATCGTTTATTTTTTACAAAAATTCCGCTATAATACATATTTACAAACATAAAAACGAATCGAAAAAATTGTCACATTATAAAAAAAGCTTTGAGCAGGAACGGCGGCGGCGCCGGGCGGCCCCTCGGCCGCGCCACGCCGCCGTCTCGGGCCAGCCCACGGCCCACAAGTGGGCCACTAATCCTAGGCCTAAGCCTATCAAATCACCCTCGAGGACCAGAAGGTCTACACAAACAGTCTATGCTCGAACCTCATAAAATTAATGTACATCTCTATTTTTAAAACAACGAAAACGACCACAGACATAGCTCTAAATAGACGACGGAAGTGTATGATTGTTGTAATTTGCGTGCAAACTCGCCAAATTGAAACCAAAATTTTTCCTTTAACGCTATTTTATTTCAACGTGTCATCATATTGAAATCCCGGCTTTAATCGCAATTTTTATAAAATGTCTGACTATGTCATATTCAGATGTAAAATCGATAGAATAGAAACCAGTGGTCAGTGGCTCAAAGGGGCTCAAGGCCAATTCTTTTCCACCACATTTTTTTATGCAATTTGAAACAGTTGCGCTGTCTATTTTAATTTATGTCTGTGAAAACGACCGATCCTATATACCTTCTGAGCCATAGACGATCTCCTTCGATCAAAGTTGGAACACGCGGAAATAAATTCGATTAATAAAAAATAAAAAAGGTTGTAAAATTATGAGCTAAGTAATCCGCTGTTCCACTAATTGTCTGGTGGGCCGGCCAGCGTAGCACTCACTATTTATCGGTTCTACAGATGAGAGGACATGGCTTGGCATAACTTAAATCTTTCATTAAAAATAAATTCATTATACAAAATAATTACTTAAACACCTCTTAACCTCGAATGGCTACGTAGCACAGGAACGCCAGCGGAACTGCTTTCTATTTAAAAATTGATGCCAACGCGACTGCACTAAATTTGTTCATCACACAACTACAAAACAATTTGAACCTTATCTTTAGAATTGTATATTCAATAACAATCATTACCAATACGTAAGACACTCGCTATAGTGTCTTCATAGTCACGTCCACCCATTTCCAGATCCTTCTAAGCTACTGCTAAAACTAGTGTTATTGGTCTAGACGCGGACGCGTTAAATGATGGAGGTGATGAGTCGCGCCTTGAAGTTGACTATCCTCTCGGAGGTCTGGGCGATACGGAGGATGAGGTCCTGGATGAGGTTGGCTATGCCGCGGTTGGCGATGATAAAGAGCCTGGTGATGGGGCCGGGGACTCCTTCTGTGAGGTTGTCTCCCTTGGCTGCGCCGGCGTCATCACCCTCGGCTGCTGCTGCGTCACCTCCAGATGAGCCCGATGATGAACCGGCTACGAGCTGGAATGTTACAAGTACTTATAAGACATGGAAAAGCTTCAGGTTACTTGAGAAAAGAGGGTCTACTCTTAATTAGTGAAAATTTTGGAAGTTGGACCAGATGTTCGAAGTTCATTTTTTGAGTGTAATAAGGAGTGTAATAAGAGGCCGTCTGAATATCTAGTACTCAAGGAGAGAAAGTATCCGATAAGTATTTTAGTGTTTTCTCTTCCACTAATTTCACAGCAGCTCATCTTAGCTATAAGGTTGTGTTTAAAACGGACAGTTGGATTTGTTTTATCATTATTAAAACACACAGACTAATTTAATATACAACAAGATGAAAATACGATGTAAGTATATTTATTAAATCTATTTCAGATTTCATGCGATTAAAAACGCGAACAAGAACTTTGAGTTCTTTGTTCCCGTTAAGATTTAATAAAATATACTTATTTTTATTAAAATCTATTTAAGATTTCATGCGATTAAAAACGCGAACAAGAACTCAAAGTTAGCTCGTGCAGTCAGCTTGCCACGTCGCAAGACCTAGTAGCGCTGATTCCCAATGATGGCTTGCGAATTTCAGCAGACAACAGGGTATGGTACCCCATGTGAGGACAGTAGTTTGGAGTCCACTGGTAATAGATCTTTTAAATAATAATAACAAGTGCGTATAATAATTATATTGATATAGAGATATAAATTCTAACGCTCATACATCGAGCACAAAGATTTAATGTGTTTTTTTTATTGTATTTGTAATCTACTTATTGTCTTGTAACCATAATATAGGTAAGTAGACACTTAGCAATTAACGTTGGTAAAGTAAAATATTTTGCCGATGTGTATTGGCTATATCTGATGAAACATTGTATTAGTCGCCACATTCAGTTGCTATGAAAAGACTGCCTCGTATCGTTTAAGATAGCCATTTTCTATATATATATAGGGATATCTCTTAAAACAGCATGACTAAAGTCGCGCGACATATTGCTTGCATGATACACGAAATATAATGAATGACTTATCTACAAGTTATCAAACAGTTGTAATATTTACAAAGTGGTTATTGTGATACATATATTACATTCAGATTTATAAAGATAGAGTGCATTATAATAAATAAATATGCGTGTGTTACGGTAAAGAAAAGAAGCGAGAAATAAATAAGCTAAGCTATACGTAAGACTACATAAACTATATTTACAAAATACATTAGCGTTTTGTTAAGAGTTTGCGGGATCATTAAATATACTATTTCTACACCACGGCCATATCAAACTACATTGTATGTTCTAGTACAAGCACTCAGATAATCTTTTTCAAAATCTACATCTGTGTTTGCTACGAGTATGTGCTTGTAGTGTGATGTACTTGTGGGTCGTTAGGGTCCAGTGAGGCCGTGTGAGAGGCAGTGAGCCCGACGTTAAGGGAGTCTGTCCCAGCGAATAGCCTGAACGCAGTGCCTGCAGCCCTTGCCATCGCCTCCGCTGGACGCTGGAATGCAAACCTTCTAGCTCGTACCAAAATATTCACAATTCTACTTCTTTTTTTATTTATTTTAAATATCGACAAATGACTACACCAGTTCTCAACTGATGTTAAGCCTGTGAAGAGTTCGGTGAAACCTCCACTTTACCGGCCTTTACCTTACTCCACTACCCCGTGAAGATAAGCAAGTTTTTTGTTAAAATTTGTATATTTAACCCTGTGTTGTTTTTATGTGAAACCAATATCAATGTGGTAAAAATTTAGGTGTAGTCGTTTAAGGATCCCACGCCAATGTAATAAGAGAATGGAATAAGAGAATAAATACAAATAAAGATTGAAGGTTCATGAAAGATAGGATAAAGAATGGAAACTGTTATAATAGAGAATGGTGATCGAGAGTAGAAAAGTTAGATAATAAATTAAGGGAAACATTATGTATTTTATAAGTTGAATTTAGATTATTTTCTTACCCTGACGATGTCGAATAAGAAGTTACCAGAGCCGCCTCCGGATGCTCCTGCTTGGCCTCCGAAGCTCAGAAATCTGAAAATACACAAAAGATGCTGCAATCCAAATACATAAAAACATTAAGACACATGCACGTGATATGGTGTAGTGTTGTTTTATGTAGAAAAAAGACAGAAGTTATAAGACGTATGTGTGATCAAAGGTATATGCTTTCTTGACGAAAATGATTGACTATGTATGTGCAAATGACACTGTAATGCAATGATTTGATATGAATCACAAAAAAAGGTTTAAATGTAATAATCTCTTACATTGAAACGGTGTGCTAGTAGTGCGGCCGCACATCTAAATTGTTTAATATCAGTCTCGTAACATCCAACAATTTATGCTCACACGCAATTGTTACATGATAGTAAACTCGATCGTGTTTCTAAGTACTGTCTGTACGTTGAAGAAATCGAAACGTGCGAATCGAAAATTCTAGTAAAAACCAACAATAGTGCCACAAGACTTGATACTAATAGCTTATCTATTGTTACAGAAACTTGCAAAACCTAACCAACATTGTAAGTTTACTCTTGATAATTTAGTTTTGGCTAAATTATTTACAAATATTGCTCTCGAAGACTTTTAAATTGGTAACCTAAACTATAATAAACCTGTAAAATTGTGTACATTCATTAGAAAATTTGCATAAAAACTTAAAAATAAAACTCGGTCAATTTTCAGACTGTGCCAGTAATCGGCAGGAGTGTTTTCCAAGTCCTGCCTCGTACCGTTTGTTCCTGTTTTCTTCGCTGTTGTCAGCATCATCAAGGGTGATTTCGTCAATCGTAGCCGAATTAGCCTGTTGGTCTTCACTGGCTGCTACTTGCTGGTCCTGGCTTTGACCTTCACCGAATGCTACCCGCACCTCGGCTTGCTGAGACTCCGCTCCAGAAAGGAGTTGGTTCTCATCAGCGGCCGCGTTCTGTAAATTAAGTTTTGTATGGATGAAGTGGTTACGATGAAGGATGTATGTTATAAGAATGAGGTGACGATGACGATGGAGGCGTGCGGTCTGCGCGCGCCGCCCGCACTGCCGTCTCCGGGCAGGCTGGTATTAGTGCGCGAGGGTGACCTTCATACCGGCTGGAAGAATATAGCTCGCTTTCTTCTGACTTCAGGTTCGCTAGTCGTGGATTCAGTGGTCGTAGGAGTCGTCGACTCCACTTCGTTATCCTCATCATCGTCATCATCATCATCCGATAGCTCGATGACGTCACCTCCTCCAGCCATGTTGCCGCCGCCGTTTTTGTTGCCTCCGAGGAAGGCACGGATGAAAATGGGCCCAAATGTTTGGAGCACTGAGCTTGTTATCTGCTGTACCTTGTTTTCTATTATCTAGAACATACACCGACCTTAGGACAGCGTAGATAATCTAACTAAAGGGTTTTAAGAGTACTGCAAATTATAACACCTTTCTCTGCGAAAAAATATCACTGTAATTAAACCTGTTATTTTCCGTAGACCGAAAGAGTCAAGATAGACGAGATTTATTCACAATTCTTGAAATTTCATTAGTTTCATTTTATTCCCCTAATGGTAGCTTTAGTTTACCTGTGTTAATGTGGGGAAAAGTTGCCTGAGGATGCCGATCGTACGTTTGTTTCTTTCACTCAGTTCGGAGCCGGGAGCACCGAGGTTCAGCGTAGCTAACGTCTCCTGAAAAATAAAACAATAGTTTGTTAGCCATGTATCAGAAAATAAGTCACATCCCCTTTATATCCCCTTTTAGATCGAAACAATCAGCTGTCGTAGAATTTTTTTTGTCGAATATAATGGATTCTTTAACTAGTAGGAGTATATTAAGCAAATTACAGGCTTTGTTATTTAAACGTGAGACTGGGTTCCAGGTATTTATTATCGACGAAAATTGACAAAGTATCTCATAAAGTTAATAATTGCAAATGAGAATTTTCATGCGAGAGTATGATTGATGTTGGTTGAGGCTCAAATTTATTCATGAAATGCCTACAATTAGACATGCGATAGGAGTGTCGCATCCCTGACCTATGTACCTTTATACAATGTCTGTTATGAGAACTAAAGATGTTCCGAATAGATTTCTTGGTTTTAATTATTTTATTATGACCATGTAGTGGTATAATAATATTGCGGTGGGTAATAAACCGAGTTTCAATTAGTTACACGAAGTTTATTTTATGTATGAAGATTAATATTGGATGGTAACTTTACATTTTATACCTTTAATCATTTAATTGTTATTAAACGCAATCGCTTAATAAATATTTAATTATAGCTGATATACATATAATACTCAGATTTAGTAGAAGAGGTAAAAAAATATTTGATTAATTATCTCTAGGAGGATTCATATTCATCGGTACCACAAACAGACAGACATATAAACGTTTAGCTATTGCTTTTTCTCTTAATGAAAAGTAAAGACAGATATACTCGTATATAATTTTACAAAGGGTAGAACTTTAATGATCGTTTCGTAGTGTTTACAAGAATTCGGAAACTTCCACGTGTGGCAATTATAATTACTTGGCGATAACTCTGTTAGTGTTTCACTGCAACGGTTGGCTGGATAATGGGGTCACTTATTTATATGTATTCTAGTCTTCGGGTTTGCTCGCCAATAGGTTGTCTTCCGAAAGTTTACTGGCTAAGAAAATAATCATACCTCAATTTTATTATTCCCGAAATTAATATTTTGCGATCATCATTAATAAAGTTTAAGATATCATTACTAGTTATAATTTTGCTTTAGACTAGATATCTATGTTCCGTCTTTGTAAAGTTAAAAGCGTGTTAAATTGTTCATTGTCATAGTGATAGCTAGGTACTGAATTCAAGAGAGGTCTCTCCCCCTAATTAGTCAACGACTTTAGTGCTAAGAAAACATCAATTTATTGTTTTTATTGCTCAATTCCAACGTAACTTTTGTTATTCAAATATTTTTAGTGACATTCTATTGTTTCGTAAATATTGTGCAGTTTGGGCATATTGTTTGTAAAAGGATGTTGTCACCAAATATCTTTTTACTCATAAAGATTTTCATTCTTTAGTGTCCTAATGGAAAAGGTTAAAGTTTGTTTAGCAAATATGATTGCGACGTGGCTATTAAAAAAGACATTTAAGATTGAAAAGGGCTTTAAGCCATATATCAATTTTAATGATGTTTTGAACGGTGTTAACCATGGTGAAGGAGATATGACAGAGTATTTGTTTAGAGAATGCAAACGGTTCTATGTGTGTGTGTGTTTCTATCCTATCTTCTAGGTCAAAGGTCCTGCCTTGCATTTCATTAATTGACATTTATAATTAAGTAAAATGACAACATTTTAGTTGTATTTTTATTTTTTAAGCATTTAACTGCTAGATGTTTAAATCTAAAGAAAATTACACTGGAAAAATGGTTCGAGTCCCGTCCGCTGCCTTGTCGGATTATTTTATTTCTTCCTGCTGCCGTGAAATCTCAATGTTGCAGACTTTGACTTTTGACTGATTACGGTGAGGTTCTTTATGGACAGCGGGAGGGAAACGTTTTACTGGCTACTTGCTATTTTGTGTTATATTTTTCCTGACAGTATGGACTTTGCAAATGGGGGCTATATAGACGAAACAGTTTGTAAGATTTTTCCGTCATACATGTTTGGTTTTTATAGTGAAACTTTTATAACATCGCCACAATTTTTTTGTTCTTCGTTTTCATGTCGCATTAGATTTTTAATTATTATGGAAAAATTTTGACCTTTCAATAAGCATCGGTGTTTCTATAGTAGAAAGCTTGCCTGACTCGCGGGTGGCCCAGGTTCTGCTTTTTTTTATTTCTGCTTTTTTTAAAGCAGAGTAGCATTAACTAACAAAAAAAATTGAGGCGATGTAAAAAATTATAAAAGTTTCATTTGCATCGTGGTTTCACAAAACCATACCATTTTTTTACGGGAACCATACCTGTGCGCTGGCCGCTGGTGCGATGATCTCGATGATCTCCGGCCGGTCGTCCGGGTTGGGCTGTGGGTTCGCCTCCGGCTGCGGGTTCGCCGCCGGTTCTGGTTCCGGCGCAGGCGCAGCCGTAACGGCGACCAGCGACGCGCACAACACCAGTAGATACGTTGACAACTTCATGTTTGTGTGTGTGTTCTGTGTTTCTTGTTCGTTCTCCCTTTTTTTCTGTGGTCACCTACTCCGTTTTTCTTTACTGGTTTCAGTTCTGTAACAATATGTGGAAATGGGTCAATATATGTTGTGTTTACAAATGTTTCTCATGTTTTGTTGAAGCTGGAAAGATTTACCGTGCATGACTGACATGATTCGGTACCATATCACACCAATTTCAGAAGTTTTAAATATTTGAACCTTGAAGATATTTTTTTTTCTGCAGAACATGTGATTCTATATACTATTATTCTTCTGACGAGAGTCTGTAATTTTATTTTACTTTCATTCCTTTTGTTTAGCTTTTGGTACAGCTTAAGGTTATATAGGATTTAAATTCCTGTTTTATAAAGTCTAATAAAATTGCAAATATATATATATATATATTCACGTTTCGTGCGATCATCTCAAAAATTCGTCTTTACGTACAAAATATATCTAAAAATATCCACCCATGTAGTTTAGGAAAACCTTGTACGTTTTTAGTATTCGCAAATTTTTACCATTCGCTATTATAGTATTGCGGTTTTGTTGTAATATACTTCGGTACGATTATGACAGTTTGTCTGCTCCGAAAGTGAGCGGCACATATTTAACAGCGGCGTGTTTTCACATGAGTACAGAAGGCATAGAGGCAAAGGTTCATGCAGTGTGGGTGTGTGAGTGAGCACTGACGACTAGTTGCCGCTAATACAAATGCTTCCTTGCGTCACTGTTACTCAGAAAGAAAAATAAAACTGTAGTGAGATGGGTACAAAAACGCGGAATTTCAAACAAAAAGGAGCGCGTTTAAAGGAGCTACTTATGATTTGCATCCTGCCCTCCCGGGATATAAAAGTATTATGTATTTATTTCATAAAAAAACAGATAAGTAAGAAATGCATGGTTGTATCGCACAAAAACATTGAGGTTGTTCTAGGACTTTCGAAATAGCAGAACCGCGTAAATTTAAAGCGGCAAGAGGAACCATTGTCAAAAAGGCGGTAGAAAAAGCGGGAAAGTGGTACGATCTGGAAATACTGCTTTGCGTACGCGACCGGCCGCTAGTGCTCATCACATACGCGCAATAGTATGAAGCGTTGTCTCTGTAACTTCTTTACACATGTTGTGTTATGCTCCTCCGGCCGTAATTCTAAGTGCTTCATAATGGGTTTTGTTGTCAGAGCACGTACGTACGACTCGGTTGAGCAAGCGTGCGCCTTTGAGGTTAAACCAAAGGACATTGAGTAGGGCACTATCCTTTCTACAGTCACAGAGACGATTAGTGACGCACAAATTGGCCATCGTCAATCATAATGGAAAGCTATCCGTGAGTGATGGTGAGATTTTACCTTTGCTTCTTGATTAATTAAAAAAAGAAAAATAGAAAATAACATTTCGACCCTTGTCTCTCGCTATCCGACAGAATGCACTGATCACTATCCTACCAATACCTTGAAAGGGCTTGTCGGATTTCTTCTGGTATATGAGTAGCTTACAAGGTTAAAAGAAAATGTCTGTATTCTTCCTCTGTCCAAGTTATCACGTACTAATGGATTAAAAAAAATTCAACTGCGGGTTTCTCCATAGCACCTGGAAGATTCAAAACTAGCCAAACAAGTATGGCAAAAACATATGGTCCACCTGATGGTAAACGACCACCATAGCCTGTAGACACTTGCGATACCTATAATCCCTCGTTTCCACCAAGAAACAAGTCTTACACTTGTTTTAAACAAATCTTATGGAATACTTGTTGTGGCTGACAACTAGTATCTTTCAAGTAACCAACAAGTTTGATGCAAGTATCGTATACTATAAATATGTATTATACATGTGTGAACAAAAAATTAAGACATTGTTAATTTTTTTAAATACATGTATATATGTATATATATGGTGTAAACGAGGGTTAAGAGTGCAATAATCGTACTTAAGCTGCCTTGTCCAACTCGACCCCAAATTAGTTCATAAAATTTATTAAGCGATTGGTGTAAGTCTCATATCGTAGTTATTTCGTCGTGGCCATTTTCCGGGTTGTTCTATGATAAAAATATGATGGCTATATGGATTCATCAAAACGCTTTAAAAATATTTTATAATCAACATAGCACATATGTTGATTCTAAAATGTTTTAAAAGCGTTTTGGTGAATGTTGTCATAGTTCAGACAAGGAAATCTGAAGGTTCGTTTATTTATAGCTCTACTTTATTCAAATGAGAACTACTATTAGAAATAAACACAACATTCTGTGTTTTAATATTGTACAAATAATAATTAATAATTTATTAATGTAAATTATTGAGAAAAATATTAATTTGTAATATACAAACTACGCAGCAGTTACGACAAAAGGTTACTTTTGTCATTTTATTTTTTAACACCTGAAATAAAATTTAATATAGGAAAATCCGTTTTTAAATGGTGGTAAGAAAAGCGTAACTATTATTTATAGCAGGAACATACAAAGGATTTGCCAACGGCTAAGGCTTTAGTCTGACATATATGGCATTTTTCGGTCGTATCCGTTCAAATATTTGTGTCCGGTTTTTGGTGGCTTATTGGCGTATGTATTGCGCTGCTCGCCTATATCACTGTATGGTGAAGAAATCAATAGAATATGTTTTCCGGCTTTTAGGAATAAATATCGGTGCCATCTCTATACACACTAAACAATAGTTTCATTTCATTGTAGTCTTTAGTAAGTAAAGTGGAGGTTAATATTACCAAAAACAGGCACTGAGATTCTCTTATTGAAATGTATTTAAAAAATATGCTTACTTAATTTTATTACGTATTTACTTACAGTTTTACTGTTAGTACCTATGTAATAAAATTAATGTATCTCTCTTGTTTATGTTAGTTGTTAGCGAGACTATATTAAAGTATTTTCTAAACTAGTTTTCGAAATTACGTTATAAGTACTCAGTCTTGATACCAACGACGTTAACGAACTTTGACAGATTAGATTAGATTTCTTCAGTAATGGCTCTCTCAGGATTTGGCTAATATCTGGTGTTTGTGTCCAAAATTTCTTGTCTAGGTTTGTTCGGTGAGGGCTTGTTTATTGTTTTTAAAACTATGACAGTACTATTGATGGTGTAATAATGTGTCACAATATGTTTTGTGGTTGATTTATTAGGAATTTGGCTGTCCAGATCATTTTGCATTTGCATTTCCCTATACATACCTTTTCTCTTTGATTTGCATTGAGCTCAGATCAGTTAAGCTTCTGGAACCTTTACCTTTTTTTTCGTAGCGGTAGCACCTGTCATAGCAAAGGTTTTCTTTTGATAAAGTTTAAGTATTTAGTCACGTTTCATTCATGATAGTATTCAATATTGTCGATCCTTTATAGTCAAGTTAAAAGTACCTCTTTAGTTAACAAAATGAAGTGCGTGACACGTAGTTGTCACGTATTCTGACGAAACAATGTAGAGAACGAAACATAGTATATTGTGACTAACATGTGGATGTTTGGGAAGCTCGATGGTGCAGGTGGTTAGCGCATTAGGCCTGCGATCATGAAAGTTAAGCTACTTTCGCAATGGTCAGTCATTAGATGGGTGACCAAAAACTTATTTGTCTCGAGCTCCTCCGTCCTTCAGAAGGCGCGTTAGGCTGTTGGTCCCGGCTACATCTAAAGTCGTTGGCACGCACCAATCCGCAGTGGGCCCGCGTGAGTCATGGCTCAATCATTCCATCCATAGGGAAGGCCTGTGCCCCTGCAGCGGGGACATTAATAGGCTGATGATTATGATTATTTATGTGGATGCTGAGTTAAGCCGAGAGCTGTTAACTTTGTACTTTATACTTACGGAGCACTAGAAGGATTGTGACGGCCATTTTACTTACACAGAGAAACAAACAAACAGACGAAAAGGAAATTGTAGTTCACATTCCCTTCGTAATGTAACTGCAGAGTAGCTATTGACCGACTTGTCAAAATTAAACAGGTTGAAATTGAAATTATATTACTTACGGCCTTTTCATTTGATACTGTATCATTAAGTATGTGCACTCGAACGAAAAAAACGTGTATTTGTTATTACCAAAAAAAATCGATAGCAGTCAGAAGTTTAATATGATTTGCAACTTGATTTGTGTGAAGGTTTAATTTGCTTAAAATAGATCACGATTGAGAAGCGTTATTGCATGTATGAATTGTGCAACATTAGATATTTTGAAATAAGTATCAAAAGTTCCATTTTAATCTGTTAATAATTATATGTATTTATTCGACCAATTGTCAATAAGCACTGGAAATGACTATATCTATTCAATAATGTAGATAATTAGTACTTAAATTGGCTCGAATGATATGTAAATCTCATTTTTCTATGAGAAGTTGCGAAACAGTTTTCAAAGTTTACAAATGAGGTATTTTTCGTTTTTCTATCGCTTCTAGTTTAGATTGGGATACAAAATAGCAAAATTTATAATTTATTTATCTTGTATATAAAATATGTATGTATGTACTTAGGTGCATTCTTTTTTTTTTAGTTATTGTTTTACTTTTTGGACCAAATTGTCCAATGTCCATACTATCGTAACATGACCGTATCATTTTCTTAAAATCAACTTTCTATTATGACAAATATTTATTGCTACTATATTGCAAAGCACTCCAGCCTCCTCCGATATGGAGTTGGTTAGGATGCCTTACAATATGCCAGTCTCAAACCTATTAAATTTAAAACACGCACGTTTCCTTTCCGCATCAAGGTGCATTCTTTTATATCCAGTAAGTTATTAAAGTTAGACTTTTATGGCATCGCCACAATATTTTTCGTTTATTTTTAGCAAGTCGCTTTACGTTTTTAATTTGTATTAAAAAAATCAGACATTATCAACAAGCATAGGCGGTTTAGTGGTAGAAGGCTCGTCTGCTACGCGGGCAGTCAAGTTTCGATTCCTAGCCGAGGAAAGTCTTTTTTGAAGTAATAATTTTAAAAGTTTCATCATGGTTTCTTAAAACCATTAGTATCAATTTTATTTATATATTTTGTAACAAATTGTTATACTAATTTAGAGTCGTGAGTTTAGAATTTATTTAGAGGCCACACTCTTACATA